AGAATGAACATGCCAAAGTCATTTGGGAGAATGATGGTAAGGGAGGAGTGCTTTATTTAGTAGCAGAGGGTCTGGTAAGCATCCTCCCTGCTAAGATTATACGGAGCATAAAGGAAGTCACAGACTGCTCATTTCCCTTGTACTCCTCGTAATCTTGTGGAAACTTCCTGTAAAAGGCAGTTATAGCATTAAAAGTAAACTGATTTCACACTCACCGGATACTAGCAGACCAACAATTGCAGTCCTTAGGGAGAAAAAGAAAATAGCATACTTATCCTTTATACTTTGTATTAGTTTGGAAGAACATGGAAACTCTAGTGATGGAGAAACAGACTCATGCCAGAGGCAAGGAAACTATTTAGAAACATGGTTACCATTTAGTAATTCTACTGAGAGGCAGAGCTCATTAGCCATGAGACTGGTTACACTTAAAAAAAGAAAAGAAAAATTCATTATGCGAACATTAGTATAGCATGAAAATACAGTCCTTTGATAAATAGTTTTCAAATACAAAATTTTAATAACATCTGCTAAGAAATAATGCTAAGGGGAATTTTAGAAATAGAAATGTTCACTTGTATTTTATTAAGAACTTCAATATTGGCATGGTTGTCTCCTATTTAGTGTCCCAAGTGTACAAACATCTGCTGACAGCTAATAGTCCAAGGAACAGGGTGTATGAAATGCTGAACTCTAATAGTATTCTAGTTGCAAGAGGAAGCCATAGGGAACTCCTGGTTCTACCAGAGTGTCAGGCAAACAGCTTCATTTGTACACATAGAAAAAGATTTGGCATAATATTATACGAAAAGCTCTATTATTTAAAACCACTGCTGAAATGCAGCCTGTCTTCAAGTCACTTAAAATTGAACTGGGGAAACAAGCATAAACTAATAAAATGTTAATTAGCAGTGTGTGTGTGTAAGTGTAAACAACAAAAATAAGAGAATCTGATGTTTTTCTTTTTTTTTTTTTTTTTTTTTTTTTTGAGATGGGGTCTCAGATTTCCCAGGCTGGTCCAAACTCTTAGGTTTAAGGGATCCTCCTGCCTCAGCCTTGGCCTCCCAAGTGCTGGGACCATAGGCACATACCACTATGCCTAATGCTGAATGATAGATTCTGAGTTCAAAAGAAAGATGGTAACTATGGAGTGAGCAGCCTGGGAAGAGAAATTCTTGCATTGCAGAGCCACATGCCATCTACCAGTATCACAGTAAGCACAGTGAGGACAGTACATTTTGCTATCCTTGTGAATCCTTGGATTGATACCTATCTGGAATCTAGAGTCCATGTAGGCCTTCTTAACTTTGTTGATATCCTGGCAATTACTTGACAGTCAAGATGTTCTTCCTTTCTCTTTGATCCATGTGTTGCTATTGATCAGCACCTCTAACACGGGGCTGTGGCTAATTCTTATATCTGAGTACAATACTACAGAGAGCCACTGTGAGAACCAGCTACTGTTGATGAGGCTTCTCCCGTGGGCTCACCTGAGAAACTACAATCAAGCAAATATATGTGTTCCCTTCCTTGCTGAAGCCTGATATGACCATAGAGTCCCTCTTGACAAGTATCAACTGAATGGAGTTGGAACTTAAGGTGAAATTATATTCTATATTTAGCTTCTCATAAAGTTATTCATGTCTGGCTGGATCCACCTTTCTTAGCAGAACTATCTGTCTGTCCTCAAATAGTATCTACATAAGCCTATGATATACCCTGGACTATCCCTTTTTTGTGTTTGACTACAATGGAGGCTTTAATTAGGGATGTGCTGGGAGACAGGATGACAAAAAGAGTTGGAAAAAAAAAGGCGGGGGGGGGGAGACTATGAAGGACTTAAAAAGGGTCAGGTACCTGGCATATTTCTGAAAAAGATGTTGTTGGTCCCAGTATAGACCTACAGATTTCAATCTGTGGGCTGGAGCCTAGAAAATCTGCATTTTAAAGAAATGCTCACCGTGTATTTAAAAAAAAAAAAAAAAGCTGATCATGAGAAAATTTTGATTATATAAAAAGATAAAGAGAATATGTTTCTCATTAATCCATAGTTAATCTTATTTCTTTATATCCCTACCCACATTTCTCCCTTTTCACTACACTGAATGATTCTGAAGCAAATCAGATATAATTTTATCTGTGAATATTTGAATATTTATCTTTGAAAGATAAGGACTTAAAAAACATAATCATGAAACAAACCTTGAAAAATTTTTTATCTCATCAAATTTTCAGATAATGTTCAAAGTCCCCCAGTTGTATCAAATTTTAAAATATTTTTTCGAATCAGAATCTAAATAAAGTCTCACATATTGCCTTTGATTGCCAGGCACTGGGACAGATCGGTTGTGATACACCTTGAATTTAGGGCAGCTGCTGACTGAACATCAGCTAGAAGATCCCTAGGCTCTGAGCCTCATTGTAGGATCTTTCTGATTGATCGAAGACTTATACAATTACCAGACCATGGAAATTTTTAAAAAAGTTGGTAAGATCGTCAACAATTGGCTAAGAGGAATGACAAATGTGTTATTAAAAAGGGCACAAAAGTGTCCCAAGAATGGCATGGAGACCACCAAAGGCAGTGAATGGTTTGGTTATTGTGTCTTGGCCATAGGGGTTCAGTACAATCTAAAAAGGGCCAATTCGAGCTGTCAATCACATCTTGACTCTTTAAGTAAGTCATGTGTTTAAAAGTGGCCTACACTGCCTGGTACATGACAACAAAGATGGTTTTCATATCATCTCCTAAAACTGGTATGGATGATTTCCCTGATGTGCCAGAACTTTAAACAGATGTACATCTTCAAAAGTGAAAATTGCTTTTGCAAATGACCAACTTTCTTTACACTTATCCATTACTGTGATAGTTATCTTATCAATAGCTTCTAAAGACCTCATATGTCTAGCAAGGGGAATACACAAAAGATGAACAGTGAATTATTTGTTGAATGAACACCAATAGTGAATCATTTACATTTAGGACTTTCAGAGAAATTGCCATCATTTTGCCATGGAGCTTATCATCTCTGTTTTACAAAATAATCATAATAGCTAGGATTTCTTGAGTTCAATGAACTCAATCTTTTCTAAGTGTTTTGTGAGTTTCTACTATCTTATTAGAAATCAGTACCTTAGCTTTATGAGTTAGGTACTACTATCTCCATTATACACAGGCAAAGAGTTAAGCAACTTGCCTAAAAACAGTGATTATAAGTGTTAGGAATTGATTCAAACCTGAGTGCCCAAAGTGTTTAATGGGTTTTGGAAGAAGAGGCCCAACACTCCCAATTACATGTTCTTCGCAAGGACAAGTTATAAAAGGCGGGTCTTCCTATCATCTTTCCCCATCACTAACGTTGTCCTTCCTTGATGAAGAAGGAAGTTAGTTAAATAAAAAACCCTCAGAAACCAATAGGATGATTTTGGGGCATACTGACTGCTTTCAGTTCTTCCGTTCATTCTTCAAACATTTACTAAGTGCTACCATGTGCAAAACACTATTAATAGGTTAGTATGCACGCTCATCCAGAGAACAATCCTGAAGCTTCCAGAGACAGAGGAGAAGTGTTGGTTTGTTTGGGAGGTTTTCTCACTTTCTTCTTCCTCAGGAATTATTCTACTCCTCAAACTGGCTGGAGCGGCAAGTCTCATTCTCAGGCCACAGAAACCTGAGAGTGAAGTGAAAAGCATTGCGCACAGAGCTAGGCTGACGCCTGGAGTGATGCGTCAGGAACTTGGGAGCGTTTGGGATTCGGTCCTCCAGGCTGCAGCATGTATAGGCTGGCTTTCTAGGTAGAGAAAAGATAATAGAATGTGCAGAATTAGGAGCTCCGAGTCCTCAGTAGGACAGACACTAGGCTTCAGCTCACAATTCCAGGAGGTTTCTTTGCAAAAACCTTTTCGAAATAAATGCATACATTGTCCTCTGACAATGCAAACGTGACAGCTGCCTATCCAATAAGCGTTCCACCTCCTTTCAGAGCAGTTGGTGCTACAGAGGCATCTCCTGCGCTACAGTTATGCAACCTCTCTCGCAGCGGGAGTTATTTCCTGTGCTTCTGGATGCGCCAGATTCATGTAACACGCCTACCCTGGGTTTCAATGGAAGTCATTCTCCATTAACAACCACTCTGGCTTTCAGAGATGAATGCCCTGCACGGCAAATCTCTTGCGCAGTAAGAATCAGGCAGCGAGCTATTAAAACACCCTCCCTCTCCCCACCCCCCCCCTCTCGTTCTCTCTCTCCTTGTGCATGAAGCTAGGGGACTGCAGCAATGCAACCTTAGGGACAGCAGGAGGAGCTGTCTTTGCAGTCCCAGCCCGTAACCCCCACTAACGATGAACTCAAGCCAGTTCCATTCTTCGTTCTGCAAGACACACACACACACACACACACACACACACACACCACAAACAGCAGAACAGAGCACCATCCAGATTTGCTCCTTGAGCACACTGTCTTTGTAGCTAATTTGTTCAAGCAACCCAGATATTCCAAGCAGAGTAACGAGGGGTAACGCACCGCAACAATGCAACCTCCCAAGCAGCTCCCCTAGCAGCTCACACCCCCGCCCCCTTTCGCAGCGTGCCAAGAGTTTGGAGCGCGCGCACGCACACCAAGCGCGGTGCAGTGACATATCCCTCCGCCTCCCTCCCCCTTTCCCCGCTCAAGTGGCTCGACAACGATTTGGGAAATGAAGGGAGGAGGGAACTACTTTCCTGAAACTTGCTATGCTGCACACGACTTCGAGTTGCAGTGATTCGTCCGGGGGCTGCAGTTTTTAGTCCTCCCACCCACTGCCCGCCACGGCCGGGGCACCCCCCGCTTGGCAGCCCCACCCCGCGTCCGCTCTGGCCCCCGGGGGAAGCAGGCGGCCGAGAGAAGTCGCGAGGGACTACTTCTCCTCCTTCTCCCGCGGGCGCCCCCGGTTCGGGCAGCGGCGGCGGCGGAAGGAGCGGGCGGCGTGAGCGCTTCCGCGGCCCCCCTCGCAGCTCCCCTCTGGCGGGCGAGAGGAGCTGGCCCGCGGAGCTGTTGGTGGGCACCGGTTGGTGGGGACCTGCGGCCGCTCTCCTCTGCCGCGGCTTCTCGGGACCCTGTATCTACGAGCTCGCCCGCTCTTCTCCGGCTCGGGTGGGAGCAACCAGCTCGTCTGCCCCTCGCCTCTCACGCTCCTCGCCGCCCCTGCCTCCCCCTTCAGGAGGAGTCCCGGCTGGAGCGTGTCTGGAGGAATCCGCCGTCGCGGGCCCCCTTGTCCGGTTCCGCTCGTGCCTGAGGGCCGACCCCGGCGCCGCCGGTGGCTGAGCGGGCAGCCGGCGGCGGGGCGGGAGATGGTGGGGTGGGCTCCGGCAGGACCGCGCCGCCGCCGCCCGGAGCCTGGGCTTGGCACCCCCCCGCCGGCCCCCACCGAGCGGAGCTCTGCTTCCTCCTCGCCGCATCCCTGAGGGAAGCGCCGCCTCTGCTCCCGGCTTCTCCGCCCGCCCGCTTCTTCCTGGCCGGACCGACCCCGCGGCGCTCCACCCCAGTGGCTGGAGGAGCAGCTCTCCAGCCAGCCTTTGCAGCCCCTCTTCCATTTTCCCTTTTCCACCCGGCCTCTCAGGATCTCCCTGGCCGGGCGCTGAGGCGAGGGAAGAGGCTGGGGTCACCACGGCAAAGATTCCTGCTGCCACCCCCCTGCGGGGGTGGCCGGGGTTCCCGGCTGGGGGGGCACCGTTCTGGGTGAGGCATCCACCATGGTGAGGCCCCTGAGCCGCTGCCCCCGCGCCCCCCCGGCCGCCGCTGCCTGCTGCCCCTCGGTGCTGCTGCTACTACCCCGCCTGCTGTTGCTCCTCCATCTCCGGATCGGATCACGGTGAGGGAAAGATGAGCGAGGAGACGGCGACTTCTGACAACGAGTAAGCGCCTCATTGATCTTGATTGCTAACTCCCCTCCCCCAGTTCTCCCTCGGCACTTCCCCAGACTTGGTGGAGACTTGGGTGCCGGAAAACTGGCAGCCCTGGAGAGTTGGTGCATCTTGTGTTGGAGATAACCTATTTTTGGGGCCATTTTATTTAATGGCAGCAACCCCCTCCATCTCTTAGATTTAGTTGCTCTCTGCCTGGGAAGGGTATTAAGTGAAGAAGTGGGATGGCAATTGTTGATGGAGAACTGTGGATGGATAGAAGTGGAATAGAAATTGCCCCTCTGCCTCGAAGACCCCAGCCTTGTCCTTCTTTGCTCTGTCATGCCAGGCAACATACCTTAGATATCCATCCTTCTTCCTTTATAGCTATTTCACTTGGAAACTAATGTGTGGGAGCACCTCCTGCAGCAAACTGCTTTTGAATCTTAATTCGATGAGTCAGTGACTCTTAAATACCGATTAAGCCTTTGTCTTCCCCCTTCGTCTGTCCTTTTAAACTTATGACCTGTAAGATTCTTGTAAAAAATAGGGTTAGGGAAACATTTTTGAAATTTAATAGGATTAAGGTCACCTGGAGTGTGGGAGATGTTGACCTATTGTGTTTACCTTTGTAAATATTGGATGTGTCTTCTCGTAAAGAACTCAGAATTAAGAATTTTGAGTGCTGGTTTCTACTTTTCCGGCTATATTAAGACACAGCAATTACGTTGATTTAACAGAATCTCATAATGCTTGAACATTTTGGTGACTTCATCAACTTCTAGAGTATTCCAGTTTTAAGTTTTTGCTTATTTGGGCTGCCTTTATGTTTTCCAAACGAAATAGTTTGCCTGTTAAATATTTTGTTTCATCGTAGGAGCTGCCTGGGGGAATAATGCTGTGGTGGTAACAGTTTCCTACGGAGAAAGGATTTAATTCTGTGCAGAATATTAGTATCCGTTTTCTTGTAGTTGAGTTTTTGTTTATCTTTGGAGGGTTAGAAAGAGTTAAGTGAGTTAGGACTAGTTCTTAGGATGCGTTCCTTTAAACAAAGTGCATTCCTCTAGTCAGACCTTTTGAGGAAACTTTAAAGTCCGGTGCCGAGGCCAGTTTGACATGAAATAACTACAAAAATGACAAGCAGTATTCCCCCTCCATAAAAAAAAAAAAAAAAAAAAAAAAAAAACAAACAACAACAACAACAAAACCACCCTTCTGATGAGCGGGTGTAGAAGGAGGTAATTGCTGCAGTGTCAGCGCAGTCTGGAAGCAGAAGTGGCCGCCATGTTCTCTCTCTTTTTGTGAATCGCCCTCATTTGCATAACACACTCTTCATTCATAAAAAAATAATTAAACATCCATCACCTTGGACACCTTGTAAGAATTTCCCAAGAAAAAATTCGAAGCTTCTTTGTCTATATGTATATTTTTGATTTCAGGAAGTAAGGAGAACTTGAAGTTTTCGATTAAATTTAGAAACATAACGCACACACAAACAACTACCCCAGTTCTCAGAATGTTGACACAGTTATGTGGGAAATATCAGTTCTGGGAGGTGCTGGGATCACGTGATTGCCTCCATTCATAAAATACCTGGCTGTCCATTCACAGTGCAGAACAGTGTCTCACTGCCTTCCGCAGATTAGACCTACTTTGAGGGAGATCAAGAAGTCTGTCTTAGTGCTTAGTTGGGAGAAAAACTGCTGAAAAGCTGTACGGAATAACGGTAACTTTTGGTATTTTTTAAGTGAGTAGCTGGGATCAAAATGTTAAGTTTCTATTTTAGAAATGGGAAAAGACTTCCTATCAATTTTTGTTTTAAAGTGTTGAATATCTCCTTGTGGCTGCAGCTGATAGAAAAACAAATGGTGGAATTTGAATTTGACACACGTGTAAAATAGATTGTTTCTAAATGGGCCCTTTTAAAAAAAAAATAAATACTTACCATCATTGATAGATAAACCGGAGTACAAGTGTTTGTGTAAAGCACTGGATGATACATACCCCAGTTACAATAAAATGAGAAAATATTTTAAGAGGTTTATAATTATCAAGATGTTGATTTTTGGAAATACTGAACTTCATTGGTATGATTACTTTTTTCTTTTTAATTCTAAATGTGCTTAGTATGGGACCACTTGGAAATTACCTTACTCATCTAGACTCAACATTCAATTTTCTCAAATGTATCCTGCTTTATTATAAATTATTCTCTACAAACTATATAATACTGTTAAATATTTATTTGGTATTAATATTTTGGTATGAGATGTTAACTCTATATGGGGAAAAATCCTGGTTTCATTTTTAAAAACTATAATAGAAAGTGATGTTCATCTGGTAATAAATTATGCTTGAGCTGACATTGTTTGCTTGTGCATTAGCTAAACCACAAAGAGTGAACTTCTTTGGAATGTAGCTTTTAATCTGATAATTTATGTCTCACTATCTTTAATATATGAAGTAATGTTTTCATGAAAATTTATTATTTATAATCACAATATGAAGAAATAAAAGAGATATTACGGCACAAGCTCTTAATGTCTTAGCATAGTTTAAAACTGTACTGTAATAAGGATTTTATTTGGGCTTTTTACTCATATTCTTTTTTAAAGCCACAGTTCATAGGGATTTAATTACATCAAAGAGTGTTCTTAACCCCAGTCATTTTTTTTTTTTTTAAACCTGATTTCAACAGTATATTTTTGAGGGACACAATTCACTTTAAAAGAAGTGAAAATCACCCATTTCTTGGGATATTAACTTTTTCTAGATAGCTTTTGTGTTAAAATTCAGTAAGGCCTCTAGAGGTCTTAATGTGAAGTCTTATTTGACTTTAGAGTTCTGTGTAGAGAAAAAGATAACTCCTAGAGGATGGTTGTGAATATGTGTTTAAGAATTAATGAAGAATCTGTTTAAGATTTTGTCTTAAACAGTAAACAAGCTAAATGAGGAAGAAAGGAATTTGAATAGCATAAAACATTTGTATCTCAATCTTTCAAATTTGGGTTTAAAATTCTTAACTTTTGAAAATAGGGTAAAATGCTTTCTGTTGTAAATAAATGAAGGGATTAGCTAAACATAATTTTTTTGTCTATAACCTTACAGAAATTATTAATATTCCAGACAAATGCTTCCATTAAAACCATGTGTGTGATTGAATAGAATTTAAGTAGAATTGTAAATATTTAAAGGCAAATTATGTGATACTAAAGGTCTTTGTCCTTTGCTGGTGAGTGAATATAATACTGCATATCCTCTGCCATTTTGGCAAAGTCTTGAAAAGTGAAATAGCTGAAATATTAAACATTTTACTTAGTATGCTCTCATTAGCGAGACATACTTACTATGTCAGTACTAGGTTTTCTAATGGCAAATTGGGATTATATAAGATATTAAAACTAGGTTAACTAGAATTAGGTCACTTGTGATAAACTTGGTGTAATCTGGGTTAGAACCTTTTTATTTCATAAATAAAACACATTTTTATGATTATATTATTTGATGCCTTATTAAAAATGTACCTTGTGATGGATTATTCTGAAGATGTATGTGAAAAAATATATATATTCACGATATATTCACCTACATATATCTTTATGTGTATATGTGCATGCATATATACATGTGTAATTGGAAAGCTCTCTAGATATGAACAGAAGCATTGGAGAGCTGTGTAATATTGTCAAGTAATGTTTATAAATATAGATGTAGTGTATACATAATATAAACGTTTGCTTAGAATGTTTGAGTTAAATGAGCTAAATGACTGCCTAATTGCGTCAGCTTTATTTCCTTCTGCTTTCTGACTTAAAACTTTATGACCTTGAATTGTATTTTTTTAAATACAGCATGCCAGCACACCTAAAATAATCTCTCCCCTGAAGAAATTTTCTCTTAACTTTTGGTATGAGATGTTAACTCAAATCAAAAGATTTTCTCATTTATGCTTTACTGCTCCTCCAACATTCCCTCCTTATGTATTGTCTTGTACCTAGTACATATTTATATTAGGGATTTTTTACAAATCACATAGTATGAAATAATTTGCTTATTTCTGTGTCCCCTTTTACATAATCCCTTGCTTTCATTTGTATGACTAGCACAATTCTTGGTGATAGATGCTTAATAAATAGGTTGAATTAATGTAGTCATACTACCTTGTATTTGTTTCTTGTGAATTTATGCATTTGAGAGCATTAGCTGTGTTAGAAAAATAGATTGAAAATTATGAGAAAAGTAAATCAATATATTATCCTATTCTTTTTATTTTAGGTCAAAATTTGCCTCATTTTTTATTTCAGTAAATTTGAGAAATAACTTAGTTCAGGCTTAAACCTATCCTAGGTGCTGTTGGAATATTTGAATGTACTTAGCCTCTGAGCTTTGTGATATATCTGAAGAACCACGTCATCAGCAAGGAGTGGTAGATGTTTGTCTTTTTTAACATAGAAAATTGAATATATCTCTGGCTTGGATCACTTTAAGTTCTTTAAATCTGATCTTCTCCCCCCAGCTCCTCCAAGGTGCCAATTATGAGAAAGTGACTAGGGATAAAGAATTGGAAATTGAACTGGAAAGGATAAAACATACAGATTTCTTAGTTTTATGGTGTACCTCTTGGTTTTTACATAAAAATGGAGAACTTTGTACTGCTTATTAAAAAAATATATAACATGGTTGAGATGAATAAGTGAGCAGAAGGCTCTTGAACTTAAATGTCAACTTGAATAGTTCTATAAGGAATTACAGCGTACCGATCTTCATTCTTTAATGACCACAAAGTACCAAAAATAATACTTCTCACTTGGTCATTTATTCAAATTATATTGATCTAACACTAAGGAATAATTGTATGTTTATTTAGTTTAAGAAGTTAACATAGATAATGAGTTTTATTATTATTTAATATTTAGATTTAATTCTTCACTGTGACACATGGTGTCAGGAGCTGCATCTCAGTCCAAAAACAAAGTCATTACAAGTCTGTGAGATTTTGTTTTTGTAACATG